AAGGCTAAAAACACCAGGTGTTTTTAGGGGGCCTGCTAAGGATAAGATGCCAGCTTGTTGTTCATATCAACGGATCCAACCAGCAGAGGAAGTTGGTGACAAAGCTAACCCTATAGGCTGGTGCCTGAGACAAAGCTAAGTAATATTACAGAAAGGCCTTGGGAGTAAGGAAGGGTAATAACTATTCTGTAACAAATTATGTTCATGGGTTTCCTGAGTGAACAGTTCTTTCTTTGGGATTCTCCCTCCCAAGACAACCCAGAGTAAGTATGCCATCTCTCATTCTAGCCACCTCCTTTTCATATAGCCCTGTTCATTTCCCTGAATGTGATTCTTGATCAGTTCCCCAGAGACATGCTGACTTGTGGAAGAACTTCTCAGCTCGCAAGCATTCTCTCTAATGAGAGTGGTGAAGACCGTTTCAGGGGCCACAAAGAACTCTGTTCAAATTCCGGTTGAATGGCTGGTGCAATGAGCACCAGTGAAGAGTGGGGGGGGGGGGGGAATAGACAATGTTTCTCTGTGTGTGTGTGTGTGTGTGTGTGTGTGTGTGTGTGTGTGTGTGTGTTAGTACTGGGGTAGAAGAAAATGTCTTCTTCCTACTATATACTTACCATCTGTTTCCTATCCCATCCAACACTATGCATCATGGGGAGGATAAAGGGTGGGGAAGACATGGTATAATGAAAAGAACCCTAGCTCTGGAGACAGAGGAGTTAGGTTCTCATCTTGCTTCTGGTGCTTCTGATTTGTGTGACCTTGAGAAAGTCACTTAACTTCCCTCTGCCTTAGTTCCCTCATCTATAAGATGAAAGGTTTGGACTTGATTACTTATGGGGTCCCATGCAGCTCTAGATCCCTGCTCCTATATTCAAAAGACGCAGCATTCTTCCCAAAGTAAATCCATGTTTGTGGCTTGAGGTCATGGAACTTCAGTCTGAAGAAAACTTGACAAAATGTAACCCACTTACATCCAGCCTGTGAATGTAACTGCATGTGGCCAGCACTCTCCGAGGCCAGTGATCTCAGACTTGTTTGGATCTGCTTGGCCCCAGACGATAGAATAAAAACCAAAGGCAATCGGAGTGACCTGTCAAAGGAAGAGCAAAGAGGCCAGTGTCCCTAGATACCAGAGTATGGAGTGAGGGGTAAGATGTAAGAAGACTGGAAAGGTAGGAAGGGGCCAGGTTAGGAAGGTCTAAAAGCTAAAGGATTTAGTATTTGAAACTGGAAGCAATAGGGATCTATTTGGGTTTATTCGATAGGGGTCAGATTTACATTTTAGGCAGATCAGTTCAGGGAAAGACTTAAGACAGGGAGACCAAACAGCAGCCTATTGCAATAGTATGGTTGTGAAGTAATAAATGTCTACACCAGGATGGTGGCAGTGTCAGAGAAGAGGAGAAGCAAAACCAGGATATCTTTCTAAAATAGAACTGACAGAACTTTGATCCAATGACGCTCGCCTCCTGGCTTTTCCAGGAACAAGACCCTCCATGTCTTGACTTGTATGTTCTCTGGCTGGCCCCCATGCCTGGAGCACTCTCCCTCCTCCACTCTAACTACTAACCATCCTTGCTTCCTGTAAGCCGCAACTAAGATCTCACTTACTATAAGAAGCCTTCCCCAACCCCTCTTAATTCCAGTGCTTTCCCTCTTTTAATTATTTTCTAATTATCGTGTATATAGCTTGCTTTGTATATATGTGTTTGCATGTTGTTCCCCTCATTGGATTACAAACTCCTTGAGGGCAGGGATAATTTTTTTTGCCTCTTTTTTAATCTCCAGAACTTAGTACAATGCGTGACCCATAGTAAGCACTTAATAATGTTTAATGAATCAAATTGAACTTGGCAACAGATTGCACAGGGAGACAGGGGCAGGGTGAGAGGGTGAAGAGTCAAGGATGAAACTTTGGTTGGGTAACTAGAAAGATGGTAATACCCTCAATAGTAACAGGGAAGTTATCAAGAGAGTAGAATTTGGGGAAAAAAATAATGATATGTTGACATTATATCAAAGGCATGTGTACTTTGACATGTCCATGGGACATCTAGTTGGAGATGTCTAATGGGTTGTTGAATATGCAACACTGGAGGTCATGAGACAGATTAGGGATGGGTAATTAAATTTGACAATATTTTGCATAGAGATGATAATTGAATCCATGGAAATTGATGAAATCACCAAGCACAATAGCATAGAGGAAGAACAGAAAAAGACTTGGACAGAGGCTTAGGTGACACCACCAGTTAGCAGGAGTAACCTGGATGGAGTTCAACAAATGAGACTGAGAAGGAGCAGTCATTCATGTGGAAGAAAAACCACAAGAGAGCTGTGTCACGAAAATCTAGAGGGAAGAGAGTATCAAGGAGAATGGGGTGATTGACAGTGTCAAGGGCTACAGAGAGGACAAGGATGAGCATTGAAAAACCCATTAGATATGGCAATTAAGAGATTATAGGTAATTTTGGAAAAGCAATTTCAGTTGAACTATGCCAGACTGTAGAACATTAAGAAGAGAGAAGAGAAGAAAAGAAATGGAGACACCAATTGTAGATGGCCTTCTCAAGAAATTTAGCCATGAAAGGAAAGAGAGTTATAGAGTGGTAAGTATCAAAATCAGACTAATCAAGTGAGGGGAACTTGAGGCTTGAGACAAGGAAGACATTCAGGGCAGGTAGACCTTATTTTATATCACAAATTGAGTTCTGCATTACTCCAGGTTTCCAAAATGATCATGGAGGTCTCTCATAGCCATAGATATATAAATTTGGGTTAACACAAACCAATCTCACACCACTGAGGAAAAAATGGCATATTTGATTGAATGCTGGACTTGGAGTCAAAAAGTCTTCAGTTTAAGCTTCACTCCAGACACTTACTAGATGTGTGACAGTAGGCAAGACACTTAACTTCTCTGGCCTCAATTCTGAATCTCTGAAATGATATGGTGGGACTAGATGGTCTCTAAGATCCCTTCTTGGTCACATTTTTAGTTGAGTACTATCTCTTACTGTTCAATATAGATTCCTATTATTGAGATCTACTTCATACCCCTCTGGAAATAGTAGTTTGCCTTCGAGAGTGCTAGATCTAATTCCTTGAAGGTCCTGTCCATTTCTCTTGACTGGTATCCCTACTCAGAAACTCTCATTATGTAGCTATATTCACTCCCAGTCATTTCTGTACAACATAGGTAAGGCATTGAGGTATGTAAACCATTTGCATTTGTGGCATACTCTCCAAAGGCAGTCTCACACTCAGCTAAGTCTTCCTGAGTCACAGATTGTCTTTCCTCTCAATGCTAAATGTGGTTCCATGAATCCTGGTGAAATAGAACCACCAATTTGGTGGACCTACCAATAGGGAAGATTCTAGGAACAAATTTTTTTCACCAGATCCTGTCCCTGGTGCCATTGGCATTTCCTAACAATGATACTGTAGAATGAAGTTTCTGGTATACTGATAATGAACTCTCTTCTTGGGTGCATCTGACACACATATATCCATCATATCCAAAGCAATAACAAAAGACTAATTAGCCCTTCCGTATAAACCACCTTGGTACAGGCCCAGCTCTGACTTCTTTGACTCATGAATCTCCCAGGTGTTCAAAGACCCCACTAATTTTCCTGTGAGCCACTTAAAAGTTACTGGTGCTCCAGAAATCCCTGGTGATATGTTCAAATTGGCTGTATTCCCACTAAACTGAGAAAGGCCATCTTCTCAGGTTTTTCAGTCATGAGAATATAATAGTACTCACTACAAAGATCTGACCCTGAGAATAATTCTCTATGTTATGTTCCTGAGCATCTGACATTTAATAGTAATGTGACCATGGGCCAGTCACTTCTCTATGAGATTCAGTTTTCCCACCTGTTAGATTGGAATAAAACTACCTCTGGTAGCTGGGCTGTTATGAGGCCCAGAGGAGATGATGTATATGAAGTTCTTTGCAAATTTCAGGTCACTCTCAAATTACCTGCAATTATCTATCACAGGAATTTTTCAAGATATTCCTGAATGGCCCCTGGCTAGAAATATCTCCAACTGGATTTATGGTTTAGATCAGGCTTGGGTGAAATGACTTTGAAGATTCGTTCCATTTCTAAGAGTTTGTAGAACTTTAAAGTTTGGGAAGCTCTTCACTCACAGTCACCCTTTGACTTGGCTGCTTGGATTGTACATGTGTTATTGTGCCTGTGTTACAGATGAGAAAACTGAGGCTCTGAGAGGTTAAAGAACTTGCCTAGAATTCTGGAGGTTTATAAATGTATGATGGAGGATCCAAACTCAAGTTTTCTGAC